AATTAGATACCAGACACAAATTCAATAGCCGCTGTGTGGGTGTTGAGAACAGATGAGTCCTTAAGTAAGTTTGATAAATTAATGCCCGACTCCATCCGTGTGCTAGGATATGTCCTAATTACACATTTCTATAGTTTTATTGGCCATGACATGATATACCATCAGAAGTGTCAATATGTGCAGTGGGTAAATATTCTATAGCCAAGTGTCTGCAGTGACATATATCTCATCACTGCCTATTGGTACTTTCACCAACAACACAGCAATGATTTTTAATTCCGTGGAGAACGTTTTTTAAATTTCTTGAGTATTTATATGCATGTGCATTTGTACCTCTAGAAACTTCATAGAAAAGTAAATTAAAATGTAATTTCTTTTCAGCAGAAGAGAAATTTGCTTCCCAAAGACACAGGGAGAAAGTAATTTTCCTACATCCCCTGTATTCTCACTGCGTCTCATATGAACACTTGCTTTGAGCATAACTTTTCCCCACAGTCGTCATTCCTGGTATCTCGTGTAGATTTGAAAACATCTTTTAAAGGAAAACATTTCCCTTTGCTAAGTTAGGCTAAAGGGTCATCTACCCCCTTTCTTTCCCTGCCGTGACCCACAGGTTCTCTTTCTCAGGCATCTTGATTCTACAACACAAAACAGGGGGTTAGTGGGAACAGGCCTTTACCAAGGGAGACTGAGCTGCGATCCCGTTTTTCAGAGCAGCGGAGAGCTAACTGGGCACAAAGGAGCCAGCAATTACCACCCCCTGGTGCTGTGCCTTAGAAACTCGGACACAAAGCAATCTGCCAGGTTATCCAGCAAGGAAGACCCCTGCCCAACCCCTTCAGAAGGAAGGGCGGTGAAAAATTAAACCATTCTCAGAGGGCTCGCCCACGACTGTGCAAGAAAAAGAGTGGACGTGGAACTGTCTACCAAGAAAAGAACCAGTGCATGGAATCTAAGTTTCATCCAACAGTAAAAACATTCCACAGAACCTCAGAATACTTTCTTTTTCTCTTAACAACATTATTTTCTATTTCCCTTCTTGGTGAGTAGATGACTTAATACTTGGAGTTGAAATCATTGTTTGAAATTTTATAGAATAGAGATAAACCATGAATTCTCATGACATTATTTTCACCTACCAGTTAGATTAAAAGAAATTATAATTTTAAAAACAGTTCCACGTAAGCCACATTTTTGCTAGTAGGCCGTCGGTTATTTTAGTATTTATTCCTAAATTTATACATTTCTTTGATTAAAAAAAATGAACACTCAGTATGCTTCATAAGACACGTTTCGATATCTGTCACCTGGGAGTGGACTGCTCACCTGTGCAAGGTGAATGGGTCCCTCTTGAGAGCCACTGAGCAAAGCCCTTATTACAGGTCAGTCAATGGCCCCTGCAGACCCTAGAAAAAAAGCTAATTTGCATTATATGTGCCCCATAATGAAAAGAATGTTCCAAATCAGGTAGAATCCACAGAACTAAGTGCTAATAAATGGTTTGAGACAGTGAGATATTTTCTTCCAAAAAATGTTTGATCCATATGTTACATACTGTATCTATAGAAATCCTAAATGAACTGACTATAAATGTATTTAAAAAGAAAGCGTTAAAGTGCTGGAGGAAACAACGACCAACGGGAAAACGCTGCCACTCACAGAACAGATTTCATTAATATACAAAGAGCGCCTAAAGCTCAGTAGGAATATGGGAAAAATATAAGAATTCGCCGAAAAAGAAACGCAAATGGCTTTTGCACATATGAAAACAAGGCCAAACGAATTCCTAATTAGAAAAATGCATGCTCAGGACACTAGCAGACACTGTTTCTAACATCATCAAATTGGCAGGATGCTTGGGTGACACAGCCGTAGAGATCTGGGCACCCTCGTGTTTCCCGTGAGAACAAACTGGATGGTCTCCACGGTGTGTAAGTTGACGGTACCTCACAAACTTACACACTCACATTTCCTCTGACCCAGTGAATCATTTCAGCGAATTTTTCCCACTAATCCACTTGCAGAAGTGTGAAATGGCGTACCCACGCCTGCATGCAGGAAGGCCTTCTTTCAAATAGCCGGAGATTGGCAAGAACTTAAATGCCTATTAGCAGGGAATTGGTTAAGCCAATGATAGTATAAGCTGTACAACTGAAGAGTCTGAGGACATTCTTTGGTTACTGACGTGACAAGGTCTCTTGAAATTATTAAGTTGAAAAAAAGCGGAGCACAACATTGTGTGTACAATTGGGTATCATTGGTATAAAAAGGCTGTTTGTGTGGGAGCAAGACTATGCACATATTTCCTCACGTGGAAACATGTATTTGCCTGTATAGACATAAAATATTGCTAGAAGCTTCAAGAAATGGAGCTCATTGGTTTCCTTTGAGGTTACAGGATAGTTTTGCCACTTTTAACGGCTTATTGTTTTCTCTCTTTTAAATATTGATTCATGAGACTACACTACCTGGTCAGAAGGAAATACCTTGAAAGGGATCACAATTTGGGATGCGCCACCTCATCTGTTGTGACAAAAATCTAGCGTTGACTTTGTCAAGTTTGTAGTTCAGGGTCTAAATTGGCAGGTATACCAAAGGGCCCGGTGTGAGAGTCTTAGGGAGCCAGCCCGACATTCTGCTCCATGAAGCAGCGACCTGGCTGCGGGGACACTCATTTGGAAGGGAGCCTTGCTTCCTACCGGCTGACTTTCTCTATCTGATACGATCCAACCAGCACCCCTGAGCAGCCATCACAGAAAAGAGTGAAATACAGTTGTTCATTATGTCAAGGAAATAACCAATTAGCCCTCAGACGATTCGATGGGCTTTGTATAAATCTAGCGAGCCGATGATCTCTTAAATTTAAGTTTGATGGATCGATGTTTAACTTGTCTCTCGTCCACTCAAGCGGACTTCCCTTCCCTGGGTGCACATGTCACCGAGCTGCTGATGGGTGACAGGACAAGACAATCTTTGAAATCCTTTTACTTAACACTGGACATCAGAGTTCCAGGGACAGTGACCCAACGTCCCGAATTTCCTGGGGTCCCTCCCAAGAGGACCCCTTCGCCTTCCAACCTCACCCCCTTCTGACCGTAGAGTTGAACACACGCACTGCCAACCTCCTTAAGTCAAATCTTGTAATTGCCTCCAATTTGTCTGTTTTGCTCTTGGCAATTAACAAACTGAAATGTTATCACGAAGGAGTTCATCTCATTTATAAGACTAGGTTTTTTCCCTCCTCCGCTAAAATATGCAGGCACCGGTTCTTTATTACCAGCATGAGATAAATGGCTGGTTTTCGTTGCTGAAGAATATCTAATGGTTAAAAAGTCACTTTTTTCCTGCAGCTCTACATAAATCACAGAACTAGTCAATATTTAATAATGCTTGCCTTGGTCTGGAGTCCCTTGATCACCCCTGTCATATGTAATAGCTCCCTCTCCGATATCTTTGACATAAAAGCCCAGCTTTACTGCAATACTAACATGTAGAGGGTCATTACGGATCGACATTTACCTTAATCTGTGACTGCCAACCATGAACCGATAAATTCCAGCAGGTTCCACTGGGAGAAATCAGTAAACTCGTCGGCGGGAAGGACTGAAGGAAAATCCTGCCGAGGACAGAATACATTTTCTACAAGGGCTGCTCTGCAAATGGGTTCTGACTTCTGAAAGTTCTCTGGCTGCTCGGCTTTGCAACATTTAATACCGTTTGGATGGTTTGAGAGACGGGATGACAACCCGAGGTGACACGACTTAGAAGGCAAGCAGAAATGCTCTCTGCAAAAACAATGCAAGATGAAACACGGGGGGAGCTGGCTCCTGCATAATTCACCCGGCTGCCTCGGCGGGAGTAGCTGGGCTGTCACGGGTCCGGCCTAAATGTGGCTTCTTTTTTCCAAATCGATCATCCCTCCTTCACCTCATAATCTTACAAGTTCCTCACAGCAGAATACATCAAAGACTTGATTGCATAAAGGGGGGACACACCAAGCTTTGAGGGGATCGGCGCAGCCTCCAACAACCCCACCCCCACCCCGTCTATTTGCTCGCCAACACGGTGCGCAAGAATGAGGGCCCTTCTCAAATTCGGCAAAGCCTGGGTTTCCCCCCTTCCCTGGTTTTATGCTTTGGGGATGTCATTAAGCCCTACAAATACTTGTGGATAAGTCAGAAACAAAGGGATGCTTTCAAGTCTAAGGAACATCATTTTATTGTTAATAGCAAGTGTGACTACGTCTACGTTTTTGCACATTGGCTACTAACTTTAAAAGAAACGTTGAGAACACCTCCTTTAAAAACAGCCACTTCTGAAAATGCTAACAGTCAACACTTAACCAAAATTGTTTTTAGTAAAATCTACACCAGTATTTTTCTATCGCAGGGGTGGCCTAAGATAAGCATCACACCCAACCGCACCTGACCTAACTTACACGAATCTAATAGTTTTTAACATTTTCAAGGAGTCCTGTGTCATTTAACCCACGTCGTTAGTTTATTGGAACACACACCAGCATTGCCAACTGAGTTTAGAAATATTAAAATGGTCACACACACACACACACACACAACAAATCCCAGCTGAACATTTACTGCAAAACTTAAGCTCAGCTCTGCACGGATGGTGTTTTAGGTTTTCACCGTTTATCAAGCAAGGGGGGAAGAGTACAGAACATGCACTAGCTCAGTCTTTCTCAAACCTGAGGGTGCATCCGAATGACCTGGGGGGGCTGCTCCCACACAGAGTGCTGGCCCCCCTCTGGAGTTTCCCATCCAGTAGAGCAAGTGTGAGGCGAGAGAATTTGCCCTTCACACAGTTTATCAGATGAAGCCACTGCTGCTCTGGCGACCACGCAGCTGCTGCACTAGCTCATAGTTATAGTTTATTTGGGGGGAAAATAAAGAAATTACAATCTGTGGTTAAAGAAAAAGATCTCTAAAGAAAATCAGGTGTTTTCTCGTGTTATTAAGGTTTAAAAATGACCAACGAGTTACCTTGATCTGCATAGAACACCCCAGTGAAATGGACCGAGTATGCCAGGCGTCCGTTGGGGTGCGAAGGCCCTTCCCACCTCACGCGGGCTCCCCGGGACCCCTCCGTCTTGACAAAGACATTCACGGTTCCCGCGGGGGGAGCTTCCAGGGTCCGGCTTTCTACCTGCGAGTATAAAAGGATTTATTTTTGTTTGCAAATAAAATAAGGACATGCTTGGCTTTGAGCCCCTTCAAAGGCTCTCTCTTGGCTGGGAAGTAAACTGTTTTGACAGTGGCATCTTGTAAAAGCGCCTCATTTTGTCAGCGGGATCAAAGCCCAGCTCGTGTTTTCTTCCACCCGCCGCTAGCGCTCAGGGTGCGAGCTCCTGAGCAAGGCCGCATCCCTGACCCCCGGGACGCGTGGGCCAAAGCCCCCAGGACTGTGTGTGGCTGCGCATCTCCAGGCACCGTTTCTAGGGCTGCTTCAGAGCGATTTTCCTGTGGCTGCCAAAGAGAAGGCATGCATCGGATCTGTTTCCATAGCTTCCTGACTTCTGGGTTTTGTCAAAGGCCACAACACACATCTACACACACACAGTTCTCTAGGTGTGTAAAGATGGCATCGTGCCAAACATCAAAATAAATGGACCTGCGTGACTCCACCCCAAGGTATAATCCCACAAACAGCTGAAAATTAATACAGTGTTAATGAACCTATGCAAAAAAGAGCAAAAGATGAATTCTTTAAAGAGGGGGACTCTGAACTCAAACGGAAGCCCTAACTCTGCAGGGACCAGAGAGATTTTAACAGCTAAATAAATAAATCGGCTAAGTGACCAGAGGAAGAGAAAGTTGTAAGGAAGTAAGAAAGGGGTTCGGATTATTTCAGCATCCCTGAGGAACTGGCTTTAAAGTTGTTCACTAACCACCACAAACTCAACTCATCACTCATCAATGTTGACCTTTTAAGATGTATTGAGTATGTTGATGATTTTGACCTTATTTTTGAAGCACAAGGCCCATGGCTCCCAGGAAGGTGATAAACATGAAATCCTCAGGCAGGCAAATGTGCTCAGCTATGAAACCTCCATTTGTTCGGGTGCACACACTTTCCCAATTATGAAAATAAACGTGAAAAAGACGGAGTGTTCGTTTTTAATAGGTATGAGGTCACGGCATGCTTTATTTTCATCTGAGAGAGGCTATGGGGCGCTTTAGATCTATAACTCCTGCTAATTTTTTTTAAAGTCTAATAGCTATGTACAAAAAATGCTCAAGAAGCTTGACTGGAAAAATATCAATTCATCATCTTAATATTTCATAACAATGCAATTGGTTCCATTATGTCTATGTATATAGTTCAAATTACTGCACAGAATGATTTTAAAGGGTTCAAAAGGAGACTAAAACAGTTGAAGAATTAAAGGCAATTTCAGATAATTATATTATTATCTTCTAATATCTGGTTAATTCAAAAACAGATATATTTTTAAAATTTCCTGTAGTATCTGGGTAAATTCTCCAGGTTTTGCTCTACATTAAATTTGGCAATTGTATTATTTTTTGCTGACTCAGTCTTTAAATTTTTTTTTTTTTTTTTTTTTTCCTTACGATGACCTGTCTTGCCTTAAAAAGAATGTTAAGGAAAAGGCATTCTGGGAGGTTACCTTGGCTTTCACATGGAAACATCCCATGACACACACACAAATATTTGAGTACAAATGTGCAATGAAAACACACATTTTCATAAGATTTTCATTCCTGATGAAACTCTTACCGAATACCAGAAACCCCAGTATAAATTATATTTCAAATGAAATTATATTTCATTTAAATATTCACAGAGTCCCATTAAAAGTGAGCACCATTTCCCTTCTGTAATAACCAAGAAGTCTGAAGCTTCGTAGAATCAGTATGATCCCCAAGGAGGCCTGGGGAATACCAGCAGGTAATAATTGGGTGGATTTCCCACGTAGTGTTTTCATGACTCTAATGCATATTGTAATCAAAATGTAGATGTCTTAAATACACATTTGCGTGAAAAATGAATGTGAAAAGGCCTGCGTCTGTGTGTGCCTGGGTGTTTATCTGTACAAGCATCCCATCCCCAGGAAAACAAGCCAGCTTTTAACCGTCTGACACAGCAACGACCTATAGCTTCAGACTCCATCCTCAAGAGGGTCCCTGGGGAACTGAATCCAATGAATGTTCTAAGGCCAGACACAGCCATAAAATTCCCAATCTCAGACTCCGGTGTTAGTGGTATCTAACATTGCCCAAGTGGGAAAAAAAAAAACAAAACCCAAAGCAAAGTGATCTTCCTATGGACAAATTCATTGTATTTTTTTTTGAGAGATACAAAATGTGAAGGATTTCTAATATAATTCAACAATAGAACTGAAAGGAAAGCAATTAAAAAGTTCTCTGTTGCATTTTCTGTGGGTTTCTTTTTCCATTATTTTAAAATTTTATGAAGCCACAATTACTAGATTTAATTTGACAATGCATAGTAGCATGTTAAAATTAGGATCAAAGATACTGTAAATTGTTTTCTATATTGGGATTTCCTTAAAAGCAAATTATATTGTGTACATGGAAAGAACTAAACAAACCACAAATACATCTTTTTTTCAAGTGGCTACAGAGCAATTCCTTCTGAACCACAAATAAAGGGTAACAGGCATGGTCAGGCTAAGGGGGAAAATATACTGAGCAAATACTACATTAAAATGGTAAGAATATGGAATTTAGGTATGCATTTTCATTTAAAAAATATTGTATTTTATCAAATTTATCCTTTTAAACTATTTTTCCTTTTATTTTATGAGCGACTTGCAAATTTTGAGCGTGAACATTGCCACATCTGAGACTGTCGAACATATTTGTCATAGAAAACACTGACTAGTATTTCCCGGCATGCCTGAAAAATGACATTAATTATATAACATATTTATAAAATAAACAGGCAGGTTTTCTAAAAACCTAAAGTTATTATCAAGAATGCTATTAAATGAAGCAAAAACTTGACTCTCTCAAAATTTATTATTTGATGTCTAACAGAAAAAAGACGCAGAAACAGAAATTATAAATTTTGGTGTCAATCAAGTGTTATAGCATGGGGCTCAAGATAGAGAACGTCTATAAGTGGCATGTAAAGGGTGTCCCCAAAAATGTGTACACGCACTTTGAATAGTTGTAAAGGCCATGTTTGTCAAAATACATTCCATTTTCAAAACTGAGCTCTCAGCTGTTAGTGTGTACACGTTTTGGGGACACCCTGTATACGCAATCGCTCCATCTGGCTGAATTCTGTTGACTATCATATTGTAATTTAATAATAGGGAAGTCTGACTTTCAAGATTGATCCATAGATTTCTTAAATCAATAAGGACACATTAAAAAAAAACAAACTGTCAAGAGAAAAAGACCTGAATCTGTAATATCCTGCATCACTGTGATTAGGCACTGAGGGCAATTTAGAATATGAAATCTCTTAAGGGCATAATATAGGATGTCCCCCCAAAATGTATACACACACTTTGAATAATTATAAAGGCGGTTTATTAAAATACATTTCATTTTCAAAATTGAGCTATCAGCTGTTAAAGTGTATATACATTTTTTGGGGCGGGGGGGAGACCTTGAATGTACTGTAATTGGAACAAAATATTTTTGCCATCAATTGAAGACCCTGGGTTTTAACCCCCAGGCCAGGCAGCCCATCGCTGCCTTGCTCTAGATAAAGACGCTGCTGTCCAATTCCAGTGATTAGATGGATCGCTGACTCGGGCAAGCGTGGCCTCCTGGGCGCAGGGTAAAGAAAAGTAGGGAGGGGAGGAGAGGGGCCGCCCCGGTGTCAGGATGGGGTCTGGGATGGACAGGGCCGAGGCAGAGTGGGTTTTACAACCCAATTCTCTCTCCCCGCTTCCCATCAGGGCACTGTGGCATTTGATTTCTTAAGGTGAACATCGCCTCCTGTCCACGCAGGACACAGATCGATGGCCGTGTCCCCCTAGTTTAAAGTCGCTGGAACGTCCAGGGACGGGGTGGGAGCCCGCACAGCGGCCAGGGCCACGACAGGCAGGTTCTGTGTTTGAACAAGTCTAAGTCTCGAGCTCCTGGGAGCTGCTCTTTTATTTCCTTCGCTTCCCCTTTTGTGAATGGGGAAGGAAAGCTGGCCTATTGCCACCCCTGCTTTTAAGGGTAAGTAACCATCCGAGGGCCTGGGCTATAAAACACTTAATGGGGATGGAGGCTACAGCTCAGTGCCACGGAGAGGTGAGGTGACAGGCTTGGAGAGCGACCAATTCCTGAAACAAGGCGGGGGGGG